TTTATCGAAATAATTAGACCTCACCAAAGAAATGTAGTTATAGGGGTATTATATAGGCCACCCAATTCAAATTTTCAAATGTTTATGAACAAATTGAATGAAATTTTGCCTAAATTTTCAAAAGAACAAAAAGACTGTTATTTAATGGGGGACTTTAACATAGACCTCCTGAAATATCAACAGCAATATAACAACACCAATGATTTTCTTGATACTATGTTTTCACATGCTTTTCTACCAATTATCAATCGTCCTACTAGAATAACTTCACACACAGCTACTTCTATTGACAACATCTTAATACTAACTGTTTAATTCAAAATGACCAATCTATCAATGGTATACTATTCACAGACATTTCAGATCATTTGCAAATCTTTTCTATAGTTCCTTTGCAGAACAATGCTGAATCTAGAAACATAAGAGTAACTAGACGACAAATAAATACTCATACTAAAGAGCTTTTCAGCGAAGAACTAAATAGGTGTAATTGGAATACAGTCATTAATTCTCACAACCCTAATATCGCCTATGATAACTTTGTTGTTACTTATAACAACATATATGAAAGATGTTTTCCAGTCAAAACAATAACAAGAAAGAAAGCAAAATTAGCTAGTAAACCTTGGATCACCAAAGGACTTCTAACATCTATCAAAGCTAAATGTAAACTTTATAAGGAATTCATCTTACGTAACCCCACTCCATTTGTTGAACAAAAATACAAGAAATATAAAAACAAACTATCCTGCTTATTGAAGTTATCAAAACGTAGTTTCTATGATTCCAAGTTTGAATCAGCTAAAGGAAACCTAAGAGCCACTTGGAAACTTCTAAATGAAGTTATTAACAAGAAAAAAAATAAACCAAAAATGCCAACAACTTTTTCTCACAATGGAAATGAAATAAAGGATCCTTTGACTATTGCAAATAAGTTTTGTGAATTTTTCGCAAATATTGGGCCAAGCCTTGCCAAAAAACTGCCACACTCAAATATCTTACCTGAACAATATCTTAGTAATAGGATTAGTGAAACAATCTTTTTAACTCCAGTCACAGAAGATGAAATCACACTTCTCTCTGTTGGCTTTAAGATAGGTAAAGCAACTGGGTTTGATGGTGTCAACATTAAAGACATCAAAGCTAATATTCAATCTCTGGCTAAACCACTGTCACATGTTATAAAT